TTCTCATCCCTACCTAGCACGAGGTCTTTTGGGAGCTCACTGGTTTCGGCTTCCATGGGAACTCCGAAGTTAAGCGAGTAGCGCGCGAGAGCACTCCCATATGGGTGACCCGCTAGGAAGTTCTCATGTGAGTTCCCAGAAACAAAACCTTGAGGGTCGTGGTCGAGGCCTAAAGCGGACAATATCATGCTACGGTGGAGTCGAGCCCGGAATGTGGTGGGGGCTCGGGCCAGGATGTGACATTCAAAATGTTATGCGTGTTTATTTATTTTTCAATTTTTATGAATTTCTTTTCATAAGAATAAATTTGGTAAAATGATCAGTATGAAGTGGTGATTTATGTTATTTAAAATTAACGTGGAGGTCCGGGTTCAAAACACTATGTGCTTTTTTTTTACGTTCCAATTTTACAAGTTTCTTTTCATAAGAATATAAATTTATAAAATTTGTTAGATGATCAAGAAGAAGTTTTATAAGAAACAATGGTTTCTGTTGTTTAAAATTTACGAAAGGTCTTAAGCCTTGAGTTCATCATGATATGTGCTTTTTTATTCTTTCCAATTTTTACGAATTTCTATTTGATTGTTGATTTCTTTTTAATTACTAGCTAGTAGCTATGTAGGTTGCAATTTTTAGACATTCATTCCAATTCAAGTTAAATCTTCAACAAAGAGTTATGTGTATACCAAATTTGCAAACCATATGACATGTCACCAATAGTAAATAAACACATTTATCGAAATTTTACATATGAAAACAAATAATTTTTCTTATATGAAGTTATGGCGCATTTTTTGGGTCGCCCCGAACCTAAAAAATCTTAGGACTGACCCTAGGAGGGGTCTCACTTAAATGTTAAAAAATTTATAAATAGATAATATTTACAAGAGAGTATAACTGTATAATACATGCTTAGAGTTATGAGCTAATTAATTTTTTTGATGCGCTAAATGCTTTTTTCTTTGTTGAAATTAACCTTCCAATATCAAGTCAAGATAGAGAGTAATTAATCAAAAATTAAATAGGATTATGAGAAATTGACCTTTCAATATCAAGTCAATGAAAAATGCTATGGAGATTATATTTTTTGACCATATTTTGGAGGCCCATGATGTTGTAATTAATGATTGGCTTCATTCTTTAATGATTCACATAAATAGTCCAATCATTAACTGCTATCATCACGTGGTCTCAAAATACGGCTCAAGTAGATGATATCTCTAGCATCACTCTAAATCAATATAGAATAGATTGGGAGTTTTCAAACAAAAAAATGAGAAGAATGGATTGGGGATATATGAAATTTTAAAATTTAGTAAAAAGTTAAAAAAAGAGAGAAACTTACAAACCCTAATATTGTTGTGGGTGGGGAAATTGAAGGACAAAATATAAGAAATTTCAAAAGTTACTGATTTGTTTATAAATCAGATGATAAATTTAGTTTTAGGGTGAGTATTGTTGGATTGAAAAGAAAAAGAGACCTCTTATTTTTAATTATTGGTGAATAGAATTTAAGAATTTATGTAAACTAAAAGAAATATAATACTAAGTTTATAAAGATAAAATGAACTCATAATACCAGTTACTTAGAAAGCTGAAAGAGTGAGGGTAGGCCTAGGCCAATGCTGGCCATATAGTACCTATGCCCCTGGTGGTAAGCAGAAATACACCCTAAAAAGTACAGATTAAAATCCTTCTGGCATTGAAATCAACATTTCTTACCAAGAAAATGATGCATTCCAAATTAGAAATTCGCATGTTCATTGTTTAATACGCAAAGCACCAATTAAAAACCAAAATAGTGAAGATATTTGGTACATAAGAACTTATGTGCACATTTTTCGGGCAATAAGATTGAAGGGAGCCTATTTATTAAGGGGTGTGATATCTACACATCCTATTTTATTTCTCATATACCTTTTTAATTTTCGGCCGTCGGATCGGATGAATTGAAGAATATCAATGGACATAAATTATCAAGGGATGTGTGAGAAATAAAATGGGATGTGTGGATAGCACCCCTTTATTAAAGCATGATGACGGTTTGGTTTTGCAACAACCAGGCCTTACAAGAATTAATCTATATATATAGAGAGCTACTAGACCCATCCATTGTCTTATTTTTCCATATTGATTATGTCATAACGTAGGTGGCAAGAGGCTAATTATATACATGTGAGAGACAACCATTGCTTGGTCAGAATTGAAGACTGATTCTTCTAATTATTCTGTTATTTTGAACAAAAAAGAGATTCTACGATTTTGTTTTCCAAGAATTATTTAAACTGTAAAGTAAAAAAATCAATTAGCCTTGGATCTAATAGTAGTAGTCTTCACCTGATTTTCTGTCCAAAAAAAAAAAAACAGTCTTCACTTGATTTCATAAGTCTTTAGATTCTTTTCACATGGGTGCAATGATAATATATTTTTATATAAGCTTGAGATTTTATTGTGGAGTAACTTTATCCTATTTGCGTTATCTCGTAAACAACTTTCCTAATGAAGATGTTCTTTTTAGTTTGAAATAACAAATTTTGGACCAATCAAAGTGATTCTACACCCCAAAACAATATTCAATGTCAATAAATAAAGTTAAAATTGTTAAAAAAAATTAATTAGAAGTGAACTTGACTTGATGCGTTGGCTTTGTTGAACTTAGAGGGTTACTTGGAATGAAACCAAGTCAACATATAAAGGGGAATGTTGAATGGTAAACGGTTGAATTGATTTTGTACATACATGTGTTCGTATACCAGGTGGTTAAATTCCGTTCTTACTTTTCTGTGTTAAAATATCATGTGTCTTAAGCTCATAAGCTGATAAGATGAATGGCTAGGATTGAAAGATCTGATGTTGGGATATTCCCCTCACCTAACCGTTGGAAGAGTGATTCTCTCTCAAACACTCTTCACGTGAATTGTATGGAATAGTGGAGAGATTTTTTTATGTGACGGGAACACAAGGTAGTACATCATATGTTATTATATAAATGATTTGATATGTGTGTTAAAAAGTTAATATAAAAAATAAATTTTCCATCACTTATATAAAAACACGTGGTGTACCACTTGTGTTTCGGTCACGGTAAAAAATTTCTCGGAATAGTGAGGTCATACACTCTTTGCAAGTTTTCTGAAATTCTCCTACACATTCTCTGCAACTTTCCTTTCATTCTTAGTCTCTTCTTCTTGATTCTGTGTACCTCATCCTCAATAGCTTACTGCTTCCATGTCAAAATTCTTTAACAGATTCAAATAGCAACAAGCTTGAACGGCCAATTCCGATGTCTTTCTTTAATTTCCGTGAGCTCAAGATACTATACTTTCTTCGAACATCTTCAGTGGCTCCTTTCCCTTGTAATAACCTAGCCCAACTGTTTGTCATCAAAATGTAACATATACAGTGCTTTCGATGAGAATGGAATTGTCACAATTTAAAATTTCCTGCATCTTGTTTGACAAGCAAAATCATAAGAAAAGAAAGAAAATTTGGAAAGACATTAAGAAATGACATGAAGTACTTGGAGTTAACAACAAACCTGGTGTAAAACTGAGCGCAATAGCATTTTGGAATTCATATTGTCGACTCTACTTAATGGGACAAGGCCTTGTTGTTGTATGGTTTGACAAGCAAAACAAGTAAAAGATATGAAAGGAAAGGTCAATAGCATCTGTTACATAAGAGAGATAATATTTCAAACCCTTAGAGCAACTCCACCGTTTAAAACCTCCCCTCAGGCAATACATTATGCTATCCCCCAGTGAATAGTAATTGCCTTAATGAACAGTAATCACCTTTTGCATCTCCATCGTTGCACCAATAGCCCTGGCAATAGGGAATAAAATATTAGTATTTTTTTTATTTATAAAATAATACAAAATAATTTTAATTGTAATTTCGGATAAGATTTTTAATCGGGCTTATTGCGCCACATGTCATTATCGGAAAAATTATTAAATAATACAAAATAATTTTATTTGTAATTTCGGATAAGATTTTTAATTGTTCTCGTTGCGCCACCTGCATCAGTAGTCATTTTGTTGAAAAAAATTGGATTGAAACTTTGAGAGAAAGATAGGATTGTGATTGAAAGTAGTTGAAAAAAATATGAAATTGTGGTGTAAGCTAGATGATAATAAGAAGGTTTTATAGAAAAGTAAAAACAATTTTAAAAAAAAATTAGATTTTTTTTCAGATTTTTTACAATTTTTTAAAATTTTTATTCAACTAATTAATATCCGCCGTTGGATATAAAAAAATTTGAATTCCAACACTCCAGATTATGCCACATGTCACAACGGTAACTTTTCTTAATTTTAAAACTATTTTTTCTTTTATTTATTTATTTATAAAGCATATTAATATCGACCGTTGATCTCAGATCAAACGGTTGATATTGAATAAGATTTTTTTAATTTTTTTTACCGTTGAGATCTAACGGTCCAAGTTAGAGAGTCGTTGAGATTGAACGGACCGTGGGAAGCCACGTGGCTTCCCAACGATAACATTTCAATCTGAAAAGTTGGCTGCTTTTTCTGAAATTATGTCGGGCAACGCACCCCCACGCCTGAGTGGGGTGCATGCGCCTGATAAAAAAAATAAAAAAAAGGCCTGACGCGGGGCTGACGTCAGCCTTGGCGTCACATCCACTCGGGCTCTCAAGCTCTCGGGCTGGCAATTCTTCATAGGCCCAAAGTTCGGGCCTTCACTTCCACTCGGGCTCCTTCACGCTGGAGCGAATCCACGGGGCCTCGGGCCCTTTTCTCTGGCCTCTCCCCCGAGCAATCCACCACAGTGGAGTTGCTCTTAGGACCTGTTTGGTATTTTACTAAAAAACTTGAATTGTTCTTAAAACTAACTTTTAAAAACATCTCTTAGAAACAATTTTTTTTAAGTTTCAAAAACGTGTTTGGCATTGAACTTAAAACTATTTTTGAATCTAAAAATTTGAAAACTTGTTTGGTTTAACTCTTGAAAACAGATTTTTTTTTTATTTTCCCCAATTATGTATTTGTTTTAAGATATACAAAACATATGAAATTAAACCTTAAACATACTATTTTGATATCCATGTGCTAATACAACACATATATGCTCGATAATCAAATTAAACTTCAAGTCTTAGATAATAAATACTACATTAAAACATTCTAGAAAACCAATAAACTTTGAGACTAATTGTTATTGACGTAATCAAGCCACATTGATCCGACTATGTGGTCTCTAACATCATTCATAACATTGTTGTCATTCAAATGCATGCTTTCCCCTTCTTGATTCGCCCCTGAGCTTTCTTCATCTACCACATCAACATCCTTGTCTTCAAATTGTTGAAACAAAGTATCATTCCTTAATTGCATTCTAATGAAATTGTGCACGGCATAACATGCAACCGGAATGCATCTTTGCTTCCTAATTGGATAATTTGGCATCAACTTTAGAATAGGAAAACGATTCTTAAGCACTCCAATGTAAATAAAAACATCGAAATTAATACAAAGCTAAAAGCTACATTCACTTATGAATGTTAATGCTAAAGTATAATATTCCGGTAATCGTAAACACCAATGGTATTTGATGCATAAGACACAATTTAAACACCAATCATAAAATATAAAAACTGTGATCAAAATTGATGGTAAAGCAGATCAAATAGTAAAGAAAGGCCAGTGAAGCCAATCCTGAACTTTAATGCAGAACCAAAATCAAGGCATATATTAACATCGGCAACCGTTTGGGTAAACAGAGGCGATATACTGTCATGAGTCATGAGTCTTACTTCCCATTTCACAACAACAAAACGACCCTGATTGTACTATTACTATAAAAAATCCACAATCATATCAGTCACGAATGGAAGCTTGACCAAGTCATGGGAAAATTAATTGAAACCCAACGAATCTTTTCATCGATCCTGAATGATTATAAATACAGTTGGGAGTCAGTTGTGAGTAACGGTCAACTATAGCATTACCAGGGCAATCTAAGCTGCCAACCAAGCTTAACCTCAATTCCAAAGCAATGTAAGATCCAAAGGAACCATGGTCCACTATTACTAATTTTATATAACGTCACCACTGCCAGTACGGTAACTTGCAACAGCATTTCAGTTTTGACTTCATACATACAATCCAGAGCAGTCAAAGAAAAAACACAATACGAAAGCAGCCAGATTCCAAGTTCAAGATTTCCATACCTTGAACAAAAGGTGGCGTGGCGTCTGCTACTCCAAAACTTGATCCTTGATAAATTGGACTTCCTTCTTCGATCTAACAATCATAAAAATAGGTATATTAAGCATCCTGTCATTCCATTGCCTATTGTTGGGCTGCTTACATAAATTATTTTATATCTCTTAATAACTTAAAATTTCAGGATAGGGATTCAATTTCGTTTGACATAGTACAAGAGAATACTACCAACTTATGAAAAAGACAGATACATTAGTTCCAAAGCAGGGCCATAATCTATAATTAATATTAATACACATTATTATGTGCAACTACCTGAAAGGGGTAAAGATATCTGATATTTTGAGAATTTGATATGTATGTTACAGATTTAAAGTTAGAGGCTAACTCGATGGGGAATTTTCACAAACACCTAATGTGCAAGCTCTAATAGCTCAACGGAACCAATTTTAATGGAAATATATAATGTATACTTAGCCTCTCTAAATATCACACCAATTTTAATAGATATGTGTGTGTGTGTGTAAGAAAGAAAGTTGCAGCTGCAATATTCATTGAGTATCATTAAGCAAGCTATGTCACAACGTTTTCAATTGCCCTTCTCCTTTGCCCACCTTTATGCTATCTTCAAAAGCCAGAGATTGCATTTGAAACCAGAGCTTGCAAAGTAAGAGACTTTGAGCCAAAATACCACAAACCCACATTTTAATTCAGAACCACAAGTTCCCAAACATTTAGATTAAACCAAAAAAAACAAATATAACGTAATAACAAACTGAAAGCAACAGAACCCATAAATTCACTATCTAAAACAAGCTCTTTAAACCCAGAAAAAGGCTATTAACCCAGAAAAGTTACACATTTTCAATAAAAAAGCAACAAAACCCCCAGAAATTCATAGGCTAAAACAAGCTCTTGAAACCCAGAAATTTCAGATTAACTTGCTAATATGCTACTCTAAAGAACCAAACAAAACAGTAAGAGAAAGACCCATTACCTTGATCGTTCCTGGCAGTGAAGAGAATGGCCCAGTTTCGTTCCCAATCAAGCACTCAGAGATTTGAGGCTTAAAGCTATTCACCGGAACCTTCACCATGTTGGCCGGAATCTCTTGGTCGTTCGTCATTGGTGAGGCGCAAGGCCTGCTCGTGGTCTGGCGCAGGTCATTCAGACCTCCATCGCAGAGCACGGCGCAGGGATATGAATTCGTGAAGAAAAAAAAAATTCTTAAAACCTGACTTTGTTGTTTTCAAATTATAATGGGCTGTTTTTAAATTTTTTTGAGTCCAGTTTTGAAAAATAGGCTTATCAAACAGGTTTTTTTTTTTTATCTTAATACTTACAAATTGTTTTTGAGTTAAAAAATTTTGGACTCAAATTCAATACCAAACAGACAGTTATTTTTCTTGCCTGATTTTTCCTGGTTCGAATCAGAAAAATTATTTTGATGGTTAATTAAAGACTTCGAAGTCGAGCTAACATTGAAAAATTTCATGAAGGTGTTTTCCACAAGATTATCTTCCAGCAGTGTCTCTAAAAGTTTATCAAGATGAAAACTTTGTTCCACTTTTTTTCTATTTTTAATGACTGTTATGTTGATCCACCTCTGTATTAATGTCATCCCAGTTCACAGCCAATGTCTTCAAGATGAGAAACTTGCATTGCTCCATTTCAAACAAAGCCTAGTATCTGATCTAGCAAGGGTGCAAGGGTAGAATCTAATGGTTCCAGTGTTTGCTTCATAACATCAAGTTCCTGGCCTAATGGTTCTGGTAAGAACTCTGATGTTAAAGCTTGGCTTGGAAGATATTCAGGATGAGATTCCGGGGAAGCATGCCAGCATACTTCCTGATTGATGTGCTCCGTAAATGGTAACGGGTAGGAATTCTCATACTCCATGTGGTTTTGAGACCATATGTCTGTGAAGCATCCTGCTGCTGGTGCTAATCAAGTGTCTGTGGAGCATCCTGCTGCTATGTTAAGCCATGTGCCTGCCAAGCATCTGCTGATCTATCAGACCATGTATCTATCCTTGCTATTTGAAGCAGATGTCCTCCTTGCGTGTCCTTTTTTTTCGATCCAACCTTTTTTATGGACACGTTGGACGCAACAAAACCAGTGGTACCCAGCCAAAGCTTCAAAGACATAGCTCACAATAATTTTGGTGGTGAATTACCAGGAAGATGTTTGAGAACCTCGCAAGCAATGATGGCTGTTGAAGATGATACCGGGTCAAAAATTAATCACATACGATTTGAAGTTCTAAAGTTCAGTCAGGTATACTATCAGGATGCTATGACAATTACCAATAAAGGACTGGAAATGGGCTGGTAAAGATTCTGTTTTCAGCTACATTGACAAGTTTAGTGGAGTGGGTTACGGAGTGGGAGGACGAGGAGGAGTTGTTACTCTTCATATTTTTTTCCTTAATTTTTACTTTGTTCGTGCGATACGTTCATATAATTATAAACCCCGTAATGCCGACAAGGACTTTCATCAAACATGTGGTGAGCCATTAAACGAGTACACCAAATAAGCGGCTAAAAGTGTAAATTTTTAGGCTCTCTCGCTCTCCCCTCTTTCAAAACGTGGTGCGCAGCATGGCAAAGTGTTGGAACTTGTTTCTATCCAAACTACATACGAATAAAACGCTCTTTTTCAATCAAAAGAGAGTAAAAACTATTTAGTCTCTTATTACAACAAAAACAGGTAGGGGCGAAAACATAATTTATAAAACAAAATTTTGATTTTTTATGTTTAAGCCTCATTTACAATTAATTTTAATACCTCCAATTCTTAAAATTAAAAAATAAACTTCTCTCCCTCTCTCTCCAGTTCCACGTTCTCTCTCATTTTTACCTCTCTCATTCAATTTTAAAAACAAAAATAAAAAATTTCACACATTTTGTGGTCATGTACTAGTTTTTCTAACAAACGATATTGTTCATACTAAGGGAGGTGAGCTTACCTTCATAATAGTGCTATAATGTGTTTCAAGTTCGCTTTTGACGAGAATCAAATCTAAAAACTCTCGCAAACAAGTAAAAAGCAACAACAATAGACCGTATTACAAAGTAACAATTGTTGGAACTTGTTAGATTTGCTACGCGTACGGTTCCTGCCCGTGGGTCTTGCGACGGGGTCGTTGTTGGACCTTAAACCGTTAAAACGAACCACTGTTTGGGCCACATAAAATGCATCGGCAAAAGCAATTTTGCCTACAAAAAAGAAGAAAAACATTTCGGTTAGGTAAAAATATTTTTAATATTAGGACTCAATCATGCTTTTTCTTTACTTCTTATATGATTAAGGCTACAAATTAAATTTATTCACCCGAAAAAAAAAATAGAGGAAATGAACTTCACTTTTGTTTGACATTAGAAAGCAAAATGCTAAGTATGGTAAACTAATTTCTACATTTCACATTTTTTTTTTTTGGTAAGAGAGAAAAATGACTCTGTAACAAACTACAAATAATAATAAAAAAACAACTTGAAAACAACAACTATAAAAAGGTACATTAACCAGTTTCCATTTGACATGTGCTTTGTGCATTCTTATTAGCTCTATCATGTCTAATGTTGTTACTAAATATTATTTTGGAATTTTTTTTAAATTGTCATATGACCTTATACCCCTTTTTTAATTTGTTATATAAACTTAAATTTTAAACGATTTGTCATATCAAATTTAAAAAATAATTAATTTGTCAACTCATCTTAACTTGGTTAAGTTTTCTATCCAAAATAAGCCATGTTCAAGGCACATGACTTATTTTCAAGGTTCTTTGGAACATTTCAATTGCCTTTTATTTTTAATGGACATGATTGACCACGTTGAATTCTCAAAGCTTGTAATTAGTTAAACTTCATGTTAGTGAGCCTAATGTACTATTTTAATAGTTCACCATAAGTTAACGAAAACTAATTTATCGCCCACCCTAGCATACATATATATTTGTATAAATAAATAAACATGTGAAAAATGAGGTTAAAAGTCCAAAATAACATTCTTTTGGATGAAAAACTTAATATAATTAGTGTGAGATGACAAATTAATAATTTCAGAAAATTCGTATGGCAAATTGCTTAAAATTTTAGTACCAATGACAAATTAAAAATATGTATAAATTTATATGACATTCAAAAATTTCTGCTATTATTTTATTTTCTAAGACCATCTTCAAATGAGATGTCAAAATGTTTACATCAGCAATAATGGTAAAAAAAAAAGAAGACATCACTAGTGTTTTCCAACCAAAATGCCAATTCCTATGTGGAATGACATGGAATGGTAGCAGAGGAAGTTGCTGTCAAATTTGACAGCTGCTTTAAATCTATTTTTAGAAATTAATAAATGCTTTTCATAATTTTTATTCTTATCTTTTGTTTAACAAAAATACTAATTATCACAATAAAAAGTAAATAATGTAATAAATAATAGTTTACATTTGACATATCAGTTGGATAAAAAATTTAAAAAAAAAATCAATGTGCTACATATTTATAAGCCTTTAAATTTAAATTTTATGTTTAAATTTGACATCTCCTTTGGAGAAGTTCTAAGCGGCTATATATAAGGAAATCTAGGTCGGCTTATTATTTTTTGAAAGTTTTTTAGAATCATTTTTATTATTTTTTATTTTCCATACAAGTGCTATATATTGGGAAATCTAGGTCGGCTTGTGATTATGATTTCAAATACAATACATCAATAATATGGTTAAAACGACCTGTCAAATCCACCCAGCATAATTTGATGATGGACCATCGCCTTATTTTTACTCAAAACGATTAGGGTTAGATACGCCTAAGTGCTCATGCACAATGGCACAATGGCACAATGGTTAGGAGTAGACATGGGTGGGTTGAGCTGCGTTAAACCTCAACCCATTAGCCGACCCATTCAATTGGGTTATCATTTGGTGGAACTTGCATGCGACCGAACAACATTAATCACCATCTTACCCAAACTACATACATTCAGTTTGGGTTGGGTGTTTTTGCGGGGTTGAAGATGGACTAATGCTTCCAAGATTTGTGACCTTAACTTGCTCATGCTTTCAAGTAATGAGCATTATCATCATCTCATAAAGAAAAGAATGGAGTTTAAGCGAGTCTGAGTTTCTACGGGTTAACAGTTTAAAACCGACTACTAATCCATGTCCAGGTGGGTGGGCGGGTTATAACACAAATCCAAAAAGTTGATCATTAAACCCGACTCAACGTACCCCACCACATGAGTGTAGGGTGTCGGGTTGTTTAAAAAGTACCCACACATAAAATTGCCGTTAAACATTGAATAATATTTGACAACTTAACAATGTGTAAGAATTCCTACTCAAATTATTCGTTGCCGATTTCATTTAACTTTGTGCTTATGATAAGAACCGTTCATATTATAAATCGTTTTATAAATATTGTCTCTGCAAACGTTTAGTCATCAAACTATATAAAATAGATTAACGGAGTTGGTAAAAGTATTACAAACCGTTCATGTATTTGCTACAATAGATCGCATTTGCAAAAAATCAATTAAAACTAAAGTCGTTTAGTCATCGAACTGTATAAAAACAGATGAACGGAATTGGTAAAAGTATTATGAACCGTTCATATATTTACTACAATAGATTGACTAAAAGACTTTAATTTTTTGAACATAACATCTATAAGAATTATTCATAAGATTTGAACCTAATAATTGGCTACTCGACGAATGTGTAAGAGTTCCTACTCAAATTGTTTGTTGCCGATTCATTGAACTTCGTGTTTATGATAAAAAAAATGTTCATGTTATAAATCATTCTATATGTATTGCCTTTGCACAAAAAAAAAAAAATCAATTAAAACTAAAGTCGTTTAGTCATCGAAATGTATGAAAAAAGATGATTGAAATTGGTAAAAGCATTCGTTTTGTGAATATTCCGTCCAATGTTGATTTCGGGTTTCGGCCCAAGACACTTGTTAGGTTAATTTCAATGCCCTAAATCTGTTTTTTAGCATATGTTTTGTGAAATTTCGATGTTTTAATAGCTTCATAGTGGTTTGCCACTTAAATTTGCGATTGGCGGCGATCCGACCGTCAGATCTTCACAAAATTTTAGTATATTATTCTAGGAGAAAAAAGAGCCCTTATAAATTATGGATCGGAAATCTGATGTACGAATCTTCCAGATTGGATTACTACGTTTATTGACTATTCCGTTGTCCAAGTTGACCAAGGGTTGACTTTTGGTCAACAAGTTTCAAATCGTTAAATTATCATTACTAGAAACTCGGTAGAGC